AATTTCCATCCTCTTTTATTTGGTCGGCCCATCTGCTGGGGGATCGACCTCGTGGCCTCTTGCTCTCTACACTGCCAGTGAGGACTAGTTTCTCGAGGTTTTCGTCACCTCGTCTGACTACATGGCCGAAGTATAGTATTCTCTTCCGACATGTAACGGACAATCGTTCTTTTATTCCAACTTCTTTGAGGATGGATATGTTTGTACGTTTGGCCGTCCACAGCACCCGCAGCATTCGCCTCCAGCACCACATTTCGAATGCGTCAATCCTCTGCCGTTCTCTTTCTCGGATAGTCCATGTCTCTACTCCATACATGAAGATTGGAAATACTAGTGCTCGGACAAAACGGATCTTGGTCTTAATCGTGATTCCCCGGTTCCATATGTTGACCAGGCGAGCCATTGCATCCCTTGCGATGTTAATTCTCCTTTTTATTTCGGGCGCGCTATCTCCATTTTTGTCGATATAAGACCTCAGGTAGATGAGTCCGTCTACGGTGTCTATATCTTGTATAACGTTGATGTTGGCGAGTTTGTTGGCTCGGTTTATTACTATGAGCTTTGTCTTGCTCTTGTTAACAGCGAGACCCAATTCTTCACTCTCGGTCACAAGTTTCCGCAGCAGCTCTTCCATTTCATCCATGGATGTGGCGAGCAGCACTGTGTCATCTGCGTATCTCAGATTGGTTATTTTTCTTCCGCCGACAACGAACCCCCCTTCCCAGTCCTCAATTGTTTTTCGGATGATGTATTCTCCGTAACTGTTGAAGAGCATAGGAGACAGAATACATCCTTGTCGTACTCCTCTTCTTGTCTTGAAGACATTGGAGCACCGGGAATCGATCTTCACGTAGGCTCCGTTGTCCAGATATAGATTGCGGATAAGACTGATTAGGTGTTCCGGTACTCCCATTTCTTTTAGGACCTTCCACAGCTTCTCCCAACTCACACAGTCAAATACTTTTGCGTAGTCGACGAAACATAGCACGACCGGTTTGTTGAATTCACGGCTCTTCTCAATAATCTGACATACATTGAGGATTTGTTCCCTTGTACCTTTACCTTTCACAAATCTCGCCTGTTCTTCAGGAA